AGAAAATTAACTCTATCCCAGCTGAAACCAGGACAGATGGTTATTTTAATGGTGGACACAATAACTTTTCTATTATTTTAGAACATGTACCCGAATTGCAAAATGCTTGTCTTTATTCTGTTATTTCAGTGGATAGCCCATGTTCTGTACAGGTTTGGTGTCCCAAAGAGCTGAAGAGATCTCCCAGAGATATTACAGAACTGGATGTTGTTCTGGCTGAATTTGAGAAGATAGCAGCAAATTACAGGTAAATATTCTGCTTTCCTATGGCTGAATACTCAGAGTTTTAAAAATAAATTACCTGTGTTTTTGCTAACAGGCTGTTCTTTAGGGAATGCAGTATTGCATGGTTACATTCTGATGTTATTTTAATGATTATTACGTTTCTGTGATACAAATATTTTTTGTATGTGACCTTGAGGTGGTCTCCAAGAATCTGATATTTTTCCAAACATAAGAACAACAAATCTCAGCTGATGTTTTTCAGTGTAGAAATTAAGCTAGTGCTAGTGCATGAAAGATCCGCAGTTGCCTGTGCTACTAGCTGCTTAATGTTGGGTTTTATTCATTACTGAAAGGAATGTTTTTGGATGAAATTTCTCCTTTACTAAACCAAATGGGTTGTGTTTTGTCCCTCTGACTTCCCTAGACAAAGCATAGAATCAAATGTTTGCAGAAAAGCTGTCAATGGCTTCTGTTCTGCTTTCAAGGACCAAATCACTGATCTTGTAAGTATACCATAAATAAAATCAATTTTGTGGTAGTGATTATAGAGCTGTATATTACATTGTAGTCAAAATGCCTATGGTTTTATATTTATATTTATTTTATGATACTTTAAATTTTCTAATCTTGTGAGGATGAATAATAGGAAAACTGTTGTGTGCAGCCTCTGTGCTGGCTTTCATGAGAGTTGTCTTTAGACACAACACTGCTGTCATGCAAGTACCTTGCAAAATCATCAGCTTTTGACAATAGGGAAACATTAATATTTGTTATATCTGAAGCATTATGTAGTAAAACTGGAGAGCTGCAAAATTTGAATGAGCAAACACGTCAAACACTGTTTTAAAAGCTCATGGACTAGAGTTTTAAAAGGTTGTTTATTTAATCTTTATACTGCATCTCAGTGACTCTTGTGTAGAGGCCTGACTATGACCTCTAACATAGTTCAGCGAAAATAATCCTTTTTTAATTAATAGTTTGAACCTAACTGTAAAAAGCTTCTTAGCTTGGAAGACTGTGATTTCTTCTCACTAATTACAATGAGTAAAAGAAACTCAGAACCTCGTAGGAGTTGTGATAAGTACAATGGATAAGTACTAAAACTATAGTTCTAAGTGATTCATTAGAATGGGCGAGTTTTAAAATGACTAGATTTGTATATTTTATATACAGTTATAGGAAAAACTAAGGTAGGTGGTATTACACTAATTGGTACAAGGAGTATTACTTGCACAAACGGGTGCAAGATGACTAATTTTGTGCAACAATCTTCCTCTGGCATGAGGAGAGAGGAAAGGATTGATACACAACTGATAGGCTTGTAGTCTTCCTGTGAACCAGTGGGTTTTTTTAAATAGCTTTTTATGTTATTCCGAAGTAATTCTTGCAATCGTGTTTTTAGGAGGATAGAGGTGAAATCAAGATCCATAGTCAATCTGTAATTCTTCTTTTCCTCTGTAGATAGTGGAAGTCCAGGAGTTAAAGAATATGAAGAGAAAAAATGCTAAGGTAAATACACATATATATCACTAGATTGTACAGCATACAGAAGCGGGCATTGAAATTTCAAGAAGTTGCCTAGAAGAAATAAAATCATTCACAAAAAAGCGTACTGTACTACAGAATCAACTGCACAAGTAGAGGATAGGGAACCACCAGAGTTTTTTTGGAAGAGGTCTGAGTAAATATGATGGATTGCAAACTCATACGTGTACTGCTATACTGGTGCAAAAAGAAGGAATGCACATTAGGATGTGTAGGTATCTATGCACGTGAATTACTCTTTTTGTAATGAGCACTGGTGAGGCCTCTGGAGAGGCAATTAAATAGAGGGCTAACCTTCAAGAAACATAGATGAATATAAAATGTAGGAGAGCAGCAAAGATGGTGACCTGTGACAATAGAATTGGATTGCTTAGTTTAAAGGAGAGAAGTCTAAGGGAGCTGCATTCCCTAAATATATGCAAAATTTTTGTTCAGGGGAGGGCAGTCCCTCTGCTTGTTCAGAGAGAGTAGTAATTGACTGAAAGTGCAACAGGGGAGTGTCGACAGGAGGAGGAACTAGTGTAAGAGCAGGAAAACATTGCAGTGGTTTCATCAGGAGAGAGTTGAATGCCCTATGGCAGAGATATTTAAGAGCAGGTTAGGCATTGTCTGCCAGAGGCTTTCTGCCCAGATTAACCTCTTTCGCAGAGTTTTTGATGACTAAATAGCTTTTAACAAGTAAAGTAAACGGAGAGCTTATTCTGGGAGGTAGCAATTAATGTCCTAAAGTCTTGTTAATTTGAGGTGATATGGCAAGCTACTCTGCATGTAAAATGAAAATTTTAATACACATCTAGCATTCACAGCCACTCAGAGTTATCCTTATTTTGCCTCTTATACATTTGTTTAAAATCAGATTTGTAGTTGCTGAATTTAAATTTATGAGTAGGGTTTTTTGTTTGTGGTTTTTTTTTTTTAAATTGGATGTTGTATTAAAGCAAGCTTAATTATGCTTAGTTCCTTAGTTATGTCAATCATACTGAACATACATTCGTATTAGTCTTTATTTTTAAAACAGAAACAAACAAAAACCTGGTAGGGTTGGTCATGTTTGAGTTCAAAATGTCACAAACTCCTTTTGTATGGTTGTAAATCCAGCGTTCCTTAAGAGAAATTTTGGATGGAGATGAGAGTCTGACATTTTGAAGAGCTTCAGAGTGTTTAAAATACAAATGTGGCAGTTGATAAGGTCTGGTATCTTTGAATTTTCCACATCCAGAATCAGAAGCATAAGACCTCAAATTAAAAAAGCTAATGAAATTTGAGTTGTTTGCCTTTGAAGTTACAGAAACCATTTCAAAGACTTTCCTCACTCTTTGTTTCAGGTAATAACAGACATCAGAAAGAAAAGGCAGCGACTGTTGCAACTCAGAGAAGAGCTAATTGGGTATGTTTCTAATGATGCACAATAATAGCCTGAAGAACTTTAAGGAGTCTGGTATTTTGTAATTCAGAAGTGAAAGTAACTTTTTTGTTCTTTCATTTTGTTTTGATGAAACTACCTCTGTTCCGTATTGCTTTCTGTTTTTACAGAAGCTCAGGATAATCTCTCCGTATTTCAGTTGCCCAATAGTCATTCTTGCAAGTTCTCTTAGCTAACTAGTTACTGGGATGGTATTTCAGACCACATGTTCATAAGAAAAACACTAACACTAACATTATGATTGGAATAGCAAAGGCAATGAATCGTAAATATACAAAGGTAATACAGAGGGCTTTTTTGGTTTTGAGTACTTCACCTCTGCAATTTGGCAGGGATGCCTCTGAGTACATGGTTTGCTTCCATCTCCTGTGGCCACACAATTCCCCTTCTCTAACTTGGCTTTAATCTTAAGTATCACTTAGATACAAAACACAGAAATTATGTTCTTTGGAAGAACCATTAGACTTCCACAAATCCAGTTGGCTACTAGTGACAAGCTTTATACTGGAGCTGCATATAACATACATGCTATACCTTAACTCTGTAGGGAACCATGGGCTTGGATCCATAAAGGCAGATTAAAAGCCCTCTCTCTGTGGCCACGAGAGTCTTGTCACCTTTGCGGTACTGTGTCCAGACTTCACTCGGAGAACTGACTGAAGGCATCCCTCAATATGGGTTTGAACCCCCTCGCAGATTGAAAGCCATCTTCGCATTTTTTACTTGTTGTGTTGTAATCCTTTGATCGTCTTAAGAAAGCTTTTTGCTGCAACACTGTTAAATGAAAATGGCTGTTGGTGTTCAGTTTTTGGAGTGCTAATTTAACATATTGAGCCCTCCAGTTTACTTAGGCAGAGGCGTATCGAATTTGTAGATCCTGAGCATGCTTCAGCATTAAGCACTGAACACCTCAGCCTGCAAGCAGGTGTCTGCAGAAGCAGAACACTGGGTACTTAAGAAACTTCACTTGAAAAACTTTAAGTGCTTAAGAGAGAGTGGCTATTTTGTCAGACTCAAAAGTGAGATGTGGAAAAAAGTTTTGGGGTTCTTTTTGTGGATTTGGACCTGTGCTCCTGTTTAAGTAATATGCTGGTTATTCTAATTAAACAGTATGTTACACTAACCTGTGCTTTGTATTTCTGACCAACCTTTCCCTTAAGGCTTCTTCAGAGGAAATATGTTCATAGTTACTCATGAAATAAATATGCAGATATAGTCATCAAAGCCTTGATCTTTTTTCAGAGCTGAACCACAACTGATAAAACTACGAAGGGAATATGCTGAGATGCAGGAAAGGAAATCTTCCTTGAGACAGGCAACTGAATTACTTACTGATTTAAAGGAGCTACAGCAAGACTGTTTGGATTATAGAGAAGAAAACCCAAAAGAAAAAGTGGTAGTAAGTACATATTTTGCGTGTGTTCCTGAACTGTTCTGGATCAGCCCCTCCCCTTTTTCTTTTTCCCTAGACTGATGGGCATTTCTGTTAATGTTTAACTTACATTGAATAGCAGTATTTTGTTAATTGTCTTTGTGGAAGCAACTTGAGAATCATCGCTGTAACTGTACTGCAGTATCTCACTCATTTTTTTGGTCTCAGAAACCAAAGTATTTCAGAGAGGATTCTGCTACCTTGCTGGCTATGTCGAGGAATTTGAAGGACACAGAAGTGTAACGGGTGTCCTCAGGTCTAAAATTTTTTTATAGAAATCAAAGAAAGATTAGCAGTGAGAAGCAAGTAATCAATTTCTTTTGTTGCTATTGTTCAAAGGTATGGAAAGCTCTGGTACTTGCATGTCTGTTCTGTAAAGTATTTCATGCTGAGAACAGCACTGTATTTCATGACCAGATTAACTCCTCATGTAGTCTTAGAACTCCTTCCCCTTTTACCGTGGCTCATGACCTGGTGTGGCATTTTCTGTTGACAATGCTACTCGCCTGCCACTTGTAAGGAAATCCTATCATTTCAGAAGACTCTAATGTTGGCTCTTCTTCACTTCTACAAATCACGTTGCATCATTTCAGATAGAGGAAAAATAAATACAGATAGGTATTTTTTCCAAGAGTTAAAATTGTTGCCTTGTAATTTTATTTCCTCAACAACAGTATGGAACTTCCAGCCTACCTGCTCTTCTGGTGGAGTCACGGAGAATTCTAGGAGCAGAAAGACACTTTCAGAATATTAATATGAAACTGGAAGAGGCTCTGGCTGTACAAAGAGGGAAGTTATCAAAGAAACATTAAGTGGTTTTTAATAGACTTTTGGACATGCGTTAGGAACAATTATTAGAATGTCAGTGCTTAAAGCTCATTTAATCATTGTTGCTGTATTTTGCTTCAGTGTTTAAAAGAAGTCAGTGACTTAATTGGCAATTGCATCTTTCTATTGTCAAATAGTCTGTGTGAGAGCTTACTCAGAATGTCAGTGAAATTAATGAAATAGCAATTCCAGTTAAAGTGGCAAAACTCTTCTGTACTCTGTTAACAATCCTGGGTTTTAATCTCAGGCTATTAAAGTAATGTGATCTTGAAAGCAATATGTACTTTTAAAAGAGAACACATAGACATTGGTTGAACTATTGATAGACAAATCTTTTTATTGAATTTGTATTTAAAATAAATTTAATTTCCTCCCATTTCTGGACGTAAAGAAATCTATTTTACTTGGCTTATCAGTAAAACTTGGACATACAGCTAACAAAACAGAAACCGCACAGCAGTGTTACAAGTGCCAAGCTTGGAGTAGCATTCATGACAGGTTTTCAGTCCAGTACTCTTCAGCCCTTGTGTAATCTTCCATGATCTCCTCATGCTTGCTGAAGATCAGCCAGTTCTGAGGATCCTTGTTTGTTACTCAGTTCTTTGTCTTAAAGCTCTGGAAGAGCATTTTTTAACTACATTGCAGTACCTTTCACAGAAGGCATGCGATACGCACGTTGTGTTAAAGGAGGTTTTGTTGCTAGCCAAGTCTGTGGTTAGCTGCTGCCTTTATTGCAAGCATCCTGTTTCCTTAAAGCTTCCAAAATAATTTCATCAGGAATTTCTTCCATGGCAGAATTCAGACTATCATTTGCAGCTTCAGCTAGTTCCACATCTTCAGCAGCTGCTAGGAAATGGGCATCATCGCTTGCATCGTTCCACTCGCTCTCTGACAACAGGAAGTCTTGAGACAAGCTTTTTTCTAGACATGCTGAGCTTTCTGACAAGTCTGATGCATTAGAATGTGGTTTTACTTTTTCTTCTGTGTTCTCCCTTTCATCCATTAGTGTACACTCTTCTTCCTTTTAGAAACAAGAATACTATTTATTCCATATGAAAATGGTCTTTATACCTTTAACTGCTCTGATCTGAAAGTTTGAAACCATACTGTCGCATATAACAGTTACCACAGAAAGCTGGCCAACAAGACAGATTTTCCAGCAGGTTACTTTATAGCCATGTTACCCTGTGGAACCCTATTGTAATAGGAATAGAAATTTGCTGGTTTTCTAGCAAACTACAAGTAGTCTGTTGTATACAGCTTTTTAAAATAATACAAGGTTAAAACTAATTTTAGTGTCTGTTTAAAGATACTGTCAGGATCTGAAAATGCATTTAAATTATACTTTCTATGAAATAACACTAATAGCTATTGATGGTCTGCTTAAGTAGAGCTTAATGTGACATTCTGCAGTATGAAATTTAGAAGTGTGTAAAGTGTAAATTTAAAAGTTGCAAAGATGCCAACTCTTACTGCCTACTCAGTGGGAAAAAAACTATTATGTTCAGGGCTTAGAATCTAGGTGCATTATCGGGTCGGTTTAAACATTCTATCCATGTGGGTAAAAATAACTGCTCTGATACACTAAAATGGAGTTAAGTGAACTTCAAATTTGAGGGTCGCTGACTTAAATGTGACTCTGATTGACTCAAGTGTTCCAGGAGCACTTCTATTTTAGCTGGCCCAGCATGCAGTCAAACATGCACAGGAGACCTTAACTTGGGCTGCTTTTCCATTCTGCGCCCATAGTGGTTCTTGTGGTTTATGCACTGGGAACTGCCGTTCAGACCAAAAGAGAAGAAAATCTTTAGCCCCAGCTGAAGTTAGGCTATTCCAGTAACTTCACTTTATTTGTGCTGACAGCTTTTGTGCTAGATCTGCTGCTGGAGAACTTAAAAACAAATATATGGAGCTACGACACCAGCACAGCTGCTCTGGGCAGCTATTCTGTGCCAGTGGAACTATGTGTGGAGCTCAACGTGCTGTGTTAGTGGGGATTTTCAATGACTTGCAGAGACAGCTTTACTCACAAGAACTTTAGCATATCGATAGGACAAAACCAAAACGTACCTCTTTGAAAAGAAAAGGGAGACATATCCGAGGTGGTAATGGAAAACCTAAATCAAATATACGGCATTAAGTAAAGTTAACATGCCACAAAGTATTAAGTATAATTGCTTTGAAATCACAGAATACATACTTTGTGATTTGAAGTTTTTTTCTCTGCAGACTGGATCGTGACACTTTTGATACCAGACTTCCTTCTTCAGATCTACCAGAATCCTAAGAATGAAATAATTTAGTTTTTAGTAACAGTACATAAGTGAAGTGAATGCATGCACTAGGAAGCTCTGATGCTAAATGAACAGGTTTTGTTTGTCCCCATCTATGGATATTGCTTTCATACTCTGACATACTTACTACATACTTTTTTGTGTACAGTTTGTTATTTTTTAATAAACTTCAGGCTTCTTAAGTTAAAATATATTTCTTTTAAGACTAACATTCGAAAGTGAAAATTAGTTAACTTCACTACATTAAGCTTGGAAGAAAAAGTCATTAAAGTACAATTAGTATATGGGGACCTAACTGTAAGATAAGATTTTGTTGCTGCTGCTGTTACAGATAACTTCATTATAAAAGCCAGATAAAATCACTATTTCCTGTCAACTGATTAGACAGCCCAGCTTTTTCAGCTGTGCTTTAGAAACACCAGGTTCATCTAGCCTAGTGGCTGTGGGGGGATTTATACCTATATTTCTCAAAACCACATTCCTTATCTTTAGGTTATTTTAAATGTTATGTACAGTTATTTTTAAGTTAAAATATTTCTACTAATGATATACTGCAATTCTAATGTAATCTAAAAAACCTGACTTTTCAACACTTACTTTGCTAGAACTGTAAGAAGTCCGAGTCTGTGTAGAGCCACTAGCAAAACTCATCTTGACTGAAGCAGTGGCAGGAGTTACCTTTGTCATTTTAGTAACATAAGAATGTAATTTAAGATGCACTGTAAATGAATTTAAAAGTGGTCTGGTTTTTTTATCTTATTTCTGATTGTTCAGCTTCCTAGCTAAGAAGCGTCAAAGCACAGTACCACTTAATAGCTTTAACATACTTGGACTTGTATATGTTAGCATCTTCAGGCACATATTTTAAATAGCATGAAGATTACTTCATAGACATATTAGAAATACAAGTTCATTTATGACAAAGTAAATTCGGGGGGAGTGGGGGTGGGTTTTGTTTTTGTTTTGGTTTGGTTTTTTTAAAAAAAAAGGCATTGTATCCCCACAGAGCAAGAGAGCAGAAATTGTAACAGGTGTCAATTCTATCCATAAGAGTTTTTCAGCATTTTTTATAGACTAACAGTTGAGCAGGTAAGTAAATAAATCTGTTTTAAAGTGGACAGTGAATAGTTAAAGAACATACATTATGTTGTTACTTTTGTGAGCTCTTCAGATATTTTCACACCAACGGTATCCAGAAATATCATACACAAGTATTTCCTCCAGAGAGAAATAATTCCATTGTCGTATCCCTGGGGACAGAGGGGAATAATTAATTCTTTAAAAATACTGCTGCAGAATACTCATTTGTAAATAATAAAGTGGTCTTTACCTCCTTGCACCCCATCTTTATTAATCAAAGAACGAACAAAATAATCAATTTCTGGATATGGTGAATGCTGATAACCTTCCATGGAATCTGTTAAAACAAAGACAACAGATACATACTGGTTTTGTCATTGTAGTATGTAATTGTTACACATTATATATAGACCACAGACAGAAAATGTACATGAATCACACCGAATTGTTAAATAAACCAGGGATAAATCCAGTGTTAATTTCCTGTAGCTCTTTAAACTGCTCCCCACCCCCAGTACAGAGGGAACCGGGACAAAGCATGACAGCTATGGGAGTGGAGAGGAGGGTACATGGCATTCAGGTGCTGCAGAGCACCCTTCAGTACAGCCGTACTCTGCATCCTGCAGAAACCGAGCTGAAGAAAAGCAAAGGTTATCAGGTGTCTGAGTCACAGTACCTCTAATTTAAGAGAACATTTTTTTCTATACAGTAGAAAAAGCTTGAAGTACCTCTACTGCTTCTGGTAGTTTTACTGTTTAAAAAGGCAGGCATTTTTCTCTCCTCCTCTGCAAAGCCAGATGACAGAACTTTTGTGTCATCCCTTGCTCTGAAGAAAAGAGAGAGTACAAAGGAAAATGTGTGATTACGGCAGCATAACAGAGCATGGTATAACATCATATAGTGTGGCATAACACAACACAGCGCTGGGCCACCGTCTGCAGGTGGCCCTGCTGGAGCAGGGGGTCGGACCAGACGACTTCTAGAGGTCCCTGCCAACCTCAGCCATCCTGTGATTCTGTATGCACTTTTTCTTCTCTTTTTGACAGTTTCCTCTGACTGACAGTAGCAGGGGCAGGGTTTCCTCCTTCAAACGGCAAAATCTGTTTCCTGGCAAAAATCCCAGGACCCAGCCATTTAGCGACTGCTCATCCACACTCAGTCTGGTCCACTGCAGTATTTGCTCTAGACGTAATATTTATGCATATATACCCTTTGAAAGGCTTCAGCCTTTTTTGTTTTGCTTTCCGCAATGAACTGCTTTTCTTTGCCACATTACTAGCTGGAAGCCAGATGATCACAGAAGACTAAATGCAGCACAGCAGAATTTCTCATCCACATACATGACAGACTCAGCTGATACCAATGATCTGAATACACTGCACGATGTATGCTGCGGGGCTACTGGCACCAGTTCAAGACAATGAACATTTCAGGATATAAAAATTGAAGTCACAATAAATATATGTTTGTAATAAACATATTACACATCATACAGAGGGATGTACCATTTTAACCTTCTTTCTGCTACAGTAATGACTGGGATCAGCTGAAGATACAGTCAGTCCAGGGCAAGATATAAGGGAGCTTTAGATTAGATACAGAAAGCTTGA